AAGTAGAGAGAACTCAGAAATGTCTGTTGTGGGGCATGGCATAGTTATAATGCCATAAATCATAAAAAAAAAAACTCAAGGGCAATTTCTTGAATTTTTTATTTAGCAAAAACTGAAAAAATCTGGAACAAACATGTGTAACATTTTTCCAAGTGCCCACAGGTGATACCGATAATGTAAAGAAACAGTAGCTCTACATATTATTAATATTTTGCTGCTTATACTTTTATTTTTGTTCCCACACTTGGCTCCTCTTGCTCATCATAAAGCCAGCCTGCAGTCCTGCCGAAAAGTCCCTGAGTTTTTGTCACAAGATTGTTGTTCACATCTGAGTCACTAATAGCTTTGCGGTCGTGCCAAGGAAGGCAGAATTTTTTTCCTTTTTAAAAAAACCTTTTAGTGTAAACAGTTTATTTTTGACTGTTTTTAAATTGAGACACATAGAATAAAGTGATTTTGATTGAATATCATGATTTTAATATTTGGTTTTTGCTCCTGACGAAATTGCACATGTGAGTAGTTCAGGGACCGTTGGAAAGTTAGAAGTTTTTGTTTTGTTTTACAGTTTCTGTCTCTGATAAATGATGTAATTTGGGCCATTTTGTTGAAGATATCATGCCTTTTAAACCCTCTGGTAGGTGCTGAGGTTCAGACAGGTAAACTTAGGTAAACTCAAACAAGTAAAGTAGCGTTACGTGGAAAGAGGCCTCCTCCGCCATCTGTCTGTCTGACCAGTATGTCTCTCTCTCTGCCCTCAGGCTTTGGCTTCACATCGAGCCTATCTGCTGACAGCACGGGTTCCATCTAAGGTTAGTAAATCAATTTTATGTGAGTTTGTTTGTGTGCTATAAAAAAAATCAGCTTCCTTTAATTGCACTTTGTTCCGTTTCATGTCATTTTTTTGTTCTTCCTCCAAAACGGTAAATTTTAAAATGCTGACATTATAACTAAAATCGTCTACGTGTTCAAGACTTTATATGTGTTGAATATTAGCATGCTAGCTATGTTACTGTGGGTGTTTTAGCGTGCCAACTAGGGATGTCTGATATTGGCTTTTTTGCCAGTATCCAATATGCCGATATTGTCCAATTCTCAATTTCTGATTCCGATATCAACCGATGCCGATATATGTTTGTTACTGCAGCCACACTTGTTTACATGCTTCATGGCATTATTTAATCCAGGCATTATTTTATCGGTTTTCATTATAGACAAAAAAAAAAACGATAATGATATTGACAGATGTTACATTTTTATGCCAATATCGGGCATAAAAACATCCCTAGTGCCGATGATACCATTTAGCTCAACGTCAGCCTTGCAGCACTACTAGTATGTATGTAGACTCTCTTAGAGATTCTAGATAGAATTTTTGCTCTGTCCTGGAATTTTTGTGCTGCACCTCATGCTTTTTGACTTTTTTACCCAATCTGTGACATTCACCTCAAAGCCCCAACATTCCTACTGATCTATTTCCAAAAAAGGAAAACTGATTCTTTAGTTTTCATCCTTAACGTTACCCAGACAGCACAAAGTAGAGCATTTGTTGGGGACTTTGTTCAGTTGCAGATTAATCTACATTTGGCCCTCTAGTTAACACTGGAGGCAGCAGGATGGTTTATGTGGAATTTAGTCAAAATAAACCTCAGTGTGGATGTTCAAAGTCATAAAGGGTGTCCCAACAGCAAATCTTAATGTGTGAACAACAAAACACATCAGGCTTTTTAGTAGAACACATTCATTCATCGTTGTTAGGCTTATGGGATTTGCGGTGAGAAATTACAACATATGACAAGATTAATGTCTTTAGACTTACTTTTTTTTTTTACTTCACTCAGCTTACTAATCTCTGCTTTTCTTCCTCTTTTTAAAAATTTTATAAACCCGCTTTAGTGCTGCGTCTGTCATTTTTTAAAATCTACTTCTTCTTCCTCTGTTCGTCGGAGTTGTACTAAAATTATAGCGTCTCTTTCCCCTTCTCTCTCTCGCGCTCTCTCTCTCTCTCACTCACTCTCATGCTCCGTCAATGCCTCTCTACCCAGAAGAGAACAGGTCCCACCATATGGAGACATTTGATAGTTTTACCCACAATGCAGCTGTGAGAACACAGCCTGTGGGAAAGGAAAACAGTGACAGGAAGAAAAGTTCAGCCTAGAGGGCGAGGGACAGAGACGGAGAGAAAAACATGCTGGAGAGAGTAAAAAAGTAAAAGTAAAATAGGTTCTTGGATGCAATAAACTAATAAACAAAGTTTCTAAATAGAAATGGCGACAAATTGTCAATTAGATGAAGCAGTTTTCAAGGGTGAGTAAGTCATTAATTAATCCCCTTTTAGACATTGACCCATTTTTTCTTGATTTTACAGAAGAGCACACTTTAGGAAACGCAAAGTACCTCGGTTCATAAGTCACTAAAGTCTCTTTTCCCAACCAAAACCTGAACTTCCTGCTTTAAAGCTTAATACAGTGTTTTAGAAATTACGGGTCATCACAGTTGCTGTGTCATTAAAAGAGAAGTCAGCCCATGGTTAAACGCACTTCTAAAATTACTGATGCTGTTTCCTTTTTCTCAGACTCTATTTTAAAGGCTGTCTGGTCACCCTCCAGGTTTTTTTTTTTTGGCAGAGTGTTACTAATGACTGTGTGAATCAGGGCCAGACAAAATATAAATAAGTGGGAAAGTCTGATGCAAAGTGAAACTGGGCGTTGGGAGTTTGCTCAAACTGAAACTGACTGTCAGAGTTGGATTGAGATGTTTGCACGATGTCGTATGATCACGGCTAGTTTAATGGTAATCGCAGTTTTAATTTCTTTAAAGGGACAGACATCGTTGCTCCAGACGGACCCCTTGTGGCAGTCGGGAACAGTAGATTTATATCTTTAAACAGAAGCGCTGCAGGTTGAAATGTTTTTTTTTTTTTAAAGTTACTTTAATTGAGGTTATATACTGCGAAAACGTGATTATTATTATTGGTACTTCCAGTTCTTTTGTCGCGAGATCAGCTGTGAACTTGGTCCATACATCTCAGATTTTGATGAGGTGGTCCATTCTTTTCTATAATCACATCAGGTCATGACACACTTTACTCCAGTCAGCAGTAATGCCTTCGTGTCTGGTGTCTAAGACTAACTAACAACTATATCCACTGGCAGCTAGTTTGGTCGGTCATTTTTGTGAACTACGTCGCTTTTTTGTTGTGGAAACTTGTCCCAACCTTCCTGAAGGTCTTAGAGAAGTCCGTCTAGAGCTTTCTGAAATGATTTCTTAGACAACAGTTGTGGATATTCAAGTGTCTGGCTACGGCCCAAACGTACATACTAGCATCCCAGCAAGCCAGCAGCACATTCTCGGCTTGTCATTCATGGCATCGTCTCATTTATAAAAGCTGCATTTATTAGTCACTGTTAAAAGGGTTTTTAACTTTTTAAAAAAAATTCCCCTGGGATTTTACTGTTTTTAATTATGTTAAATTACACGTAAGGACTACTACTAAAACTACAGACCGAACTATGAGTGTATACGTTGACCACAAAAAAAAAAACCCTAGACCAAACTGGAAATATATCTGTATTTTTACAAATATCAATTTGTTCATTTACACTGTGTGACCATGAACATACACTATATTAATGTATTTAAATTTACTTAAGATATCATTTGTAGGGATATTTGGCATTATTTTCACTGGTTTTGAAAATTCCAATATTTATTACTGTATTTATATCTGGGGAAAAAATTTGTCACACAGTAAAAAATAAGTTTTTTTTTGTTGATACTTTTAACTGTTTTATTTATTTATTTATTTTTACCAGGATTTTTTAAAAACAATTTACTGAGTTTATACCCTTTTCCTTGTTTTAAATGTACATGTTGACTGTAAAACTATTTTTAAAAAGGCTAAAGTTGCAAATATTGTTTGCATCAAAAATATTAGTTTTTATTATTATTATTTATTGATTCTTCTACATTGTGCGATGCTAAAATGGTTTACTGTTTTACTGTGTTTATATTTGCTAAATATATCATTGTTTTACAGATATTAGTTTACCTTTTTTTTTTTTTTTCTTTACAGTATTCCACCATTAAAAAAACATTTCTGGCACACTTACTACTCCGTTTTCTCAGTTTTAAGATTTTTTTTTTCACAGAGTTTAATGTTTATTAACTCAATGACCGAAATGTGTTGCACACTTTAAAACTTTTTGAGCACAATTGAACAGATTGAACCCTTTTCTAACCAAAGCAATTCAAAATATGATGAGAGTTTCCTGTTGGTCTGGTTAGTTCCATTTTCTTCTTAAAAGTGTTGCTTTTGATCAGTTTGTAGCCTCTTAGAGCATATTTAAAAAGGTTGGCCCGTACTTTTGCAGGTTATGAATCCAGTTCAAAAGCAGAAGCAAACATAAACGCAGCTCAGATAACCTCTGAATCAAAATCTGTTGAGCAACGGTTTGCGGCTCAGCCAGCTGACCCCTGATCTGTTGTTCCAGAGTGGGCCAGTGGTTTTTCTAACTCTGTCAGAGAGACTGAAACAGAGGCTGGTTTGTTCCTCAGCGAGTTCTGTCCCAGCAGAGGCAGAAAAAAAAGACAATGGAGGAATTTAACAGCTGGCAAGGAGAGCAGGGGAGGGGGCACTGCCTCTCTGTGCCCTTCCCTTGCTTCCTCTCTGCTTCATTACTGACTTTGTCCAGCCTTTTTATCTGGTATTTGTTTAAGCTCTCCTCTCTCAGTTCCTCTCTCACTTTTGCAGTCTCTTATTTTTTTTTTTTTTCATTCACTCCATCTCTTTCACTTTCTTTTTCGTAACTCCATCTCCCCCCCTCCTCCATCTTTGTTTTTCTCCCTCTTCTCCCTCCGTCACACTTGTTCTCTTTGGCAGCGAGTTGAGACCACACAATTATTTTTACTTTCTGCATTCAAAGGGAAATGTGTGCGCGGGCACGACTCCACTCCAGACATTTGTTCTACAGACTATTTGCAGCTTGTGTTTTTGACATTCCTATTGTCTCTGTGATTTTTTTTTTTCTTTCCTCCTCCCTCCCTTCTTTAGGGTTTGTTCAGGTCCTGATAAAAACAGCTCCTTATCAGTACAGGTTTCCATGTCTTTTTGATATAATAATAGTGATTCACAAACAGATTCCTCGCTGGAGAATTGCTGATAGTGTAGATTGCACAGCGTAGAACCGCTCATTAGTGCATGAACAGTGTGTTTGGAGGTTATTGTGACACAGCAAACTCTCTGTTGCTTAACTCCAAAACAAGTCGGAGCTTGACCAGTCAGCTCAGTCGACCTGAAAATAAAAGCAAATGCTTGAGCTTATTTAGCAAAACTATTAATGTTAAGTGAGGAGCTGCAGCCATGTAAAGTATGAGAAAAGTAATGTCTTTCTCTGAGCATCAACTCTCTGAACCCTTAAACCTGCTGGTGGGATTGAACATGAAAATGAAATGTTGTTGTTTCTTTGTAATTGTCATAATGGCATCATTTATCAGAGCTGGAAACTGTGAATGTGCAGTTCTGTGAAGAAAAATAGCTTAATCAGAGCTTAAAATCATGTGATTTCATTTGCTTATTCTACACGTCTATTAAAAACATTGTCAAAAATGCAGATTCTTTAAAAAAAAAAAAAAAGTAGCTAAAATTCTGGGCTTCTCAGCATAGGCCATGAGTAACCAACAGTCATGTGACAAAAATTCAGAAACTCTTCGGCTGAACTGCAGGCTGTGTTCGCTCAGAACACACAGGAGTATGGAAACAAATTAAAAATGTACGCAGTAAAATATGAGTATTTTGTACCCACTGGTGAACTGGCCCGCTCTTCACTCCTGCAGACAATTACACTGGTTTCTTTACATCTACAAAACCCTCACTGGTAAAACACCACCATATCTGCGTTTACCATTCATAACTCCATCCGTACTCTTCGTTCTAACTGTCTCATTAACCTCCACATTCCCAAAGTCCATACCACTTTGGGTCCATCCTCATTTCAGTTTTCTGACGCTAATGACTGGAACTCTTTGCAACATTCCCTACAACTCACCTCATATGTACCACTCTTATTGATCAAAAAATCAGATAGAGCAACACTTCAGGACTACTGCACCTGTCTTTAGCCTCTCTATTTTACAAGTTCTTACGTAATTTGTGTGAGCTGCTGTACATGTAATCTGTTTTTCCTGTTCATCTTGCTTGTGTGCCACCTCTTGACCAAGTCATTATTGAAAATGAGAACCAGTTGTCAACTAACCAACCTGGTAAAATAAAGGTTAAATGAAATATCTATAGCCTGTAGAGCCACATTTTTTCCCCCAGTATCACTAACATCTGTGGGCTCTCGCAAAAATGTTCTACATGTGGAATCCAGGTTTTTTTTTTTTTTCTTTTTTCTGTGACATAAATGATTAACAGAATTCAGCTATGATTATTGGCATTATATCAGTTTCATACTGCGCAGAAGACATTTTTTAGTTCTCTCTACATCCAGCCATGGTTGTTCTGTTTCCATAGACGTGCAGGACTTTATATTGGAGTGAAAAATGAGCTTACAGTGAGTAAAAATGTGACCTTTACCAGCTTTGACAGTCACATGACAAGCACATTACCACACCTTCAAACTATGATGTATATTATTCTGAAATATGTCGTTCTGCATGATGAGAACTTTTACTTCAGTAAATGCATAACTTTTCTTGTATTTCTCCTCTGTGATGTTGGTGCTTTGACACTGGATTCTACCTCTAGAAGCCAACTTTGTGCACAGCAGCAGCAGTGTCACGCTCAAACAGGAAAGGGCCTTCCCCAAGCTGGTACCACAAACACACTATTGTCTTTAATATGTTAATGTGATTTCGCGTTAAGAGTTCCTATCAGTGTAACTAAGGAGCCCGAGTTAATGAAAAACATCTCTGGAGTGCACCAAATAGTGTGTCCACAAACGCTTCATGTAGTGTTTATATTAGAAAACGTGGTGAATCAGCTGTTCTAACAAGACATCCTATGACTGGATGTAGCTGTTAGAACTCCATCTGTTAAACTCAGATTCTGTTCTGTGGGTTGAAACACTTAAAAACATGTGTCACGTGTCTCTTCATGTTTTTTTTTTCTTCTCATGCTTTGATCTGGTACATGAAGGCATTTTATGGAACCAGATTTGCTCCAGTATAGCAAAGTGACTGTGATGAGTGTTTGTGTATCACCTGAACTCTCTTCATCCGGTTAATGAAGGATTTTAAAAAACGGTCTGTTTTTGGTAAACAGTTCCTGGGAAGTTCTCCCAGTTCTCAGGAGGAAGTATAAATGTCATCCTTGTATTATTTTTTTTTTAAATTTTGTGGTGTAGTGAGCAAGCTCTCCTTTGAGACGCGTAACTTCTGTTTTGTGATTTGTTGTTTGTGTGTCTAATCGGAGCTCAGCATGCCGCCCTTGTCCAGTAATCCCTCTGTGAATAAGATGTGGGAACGTGAGATTAACTCGGTGTATTTACACAATCTGTGTCTTCAGGTCGAACACTCCTTCAGCTATCTGGATATCCAGGGAATCAGCAGCAACAAGCCCACTCAGGTACGCACACATGCAAACAAACAAGAAGCATAGTGTTGCATTGCTGTGCTCTATATTTCTGACATAGAAACACTCACCTGAATGGCAGTTTAACAGTTGCTCATGCACACACGAATGTACAGTCATTGATGGAATATGAAATTTGAGGTAATTGGCTGCATTAGTGCACATTTGCTCACCTGAATTCACCTCCTCGGGCTGTAAACATATTCCTGAGGCAGCGGGGAGTTTCTGCATTTTATCACCTCAGCAGCGCTTTGACTCATTCCTTTGTGGCTGTCGCCCCCTGCAGCTGGTGTTGGAGTATGAACGCGGTCCGTGGTGCCTCCGGCTGGGCTCGGCCGAGGAAGTGGATGAGGTGATCGCTCACATCGGCAGCTGTCTGCACCAGATCTGCCCCGCCAGCTCACCTGTGTAGGTAGCACACAGCCGCTTTCAGAGGAGTGGAGAAAGAGGAAACTCTTTAAATGCTTCTCATGAAGGGCTTTTGAATTAAGATTTGGTACATTTTAAAGGCTTTGAACAGTTGAAGTAAATGAAGTTGATCCTTTAAACTGCGAGCAGTTCCTGGGTGTTTCTTTTTTCTGTTTATTTGTTTTGCTCCTGTCACATTTTTAGTCACTTCATGCTCCTTTTTCACTGCAATATAAAGTCCTGCACCTCTATTGAAACAACACAATGATATTAGAAGAAGAGAGAACTTAGAAATGTCTTCTGTAGTTTTAACAAAGCCATGATGCTATAATTTCTGTTTTTATTTATTTAATTTTTTTTATACGTTTTTTTTTTTTTTTAATTCGACACAAAAGTCTTTTTATCAGCTACATTCTTGTTGGTTACAGGTGAGTCAAACATGGCTTCCCAGTTGTACTGAGGAGCACAAAGTGTTTTTGAAAAAAATATTTCTTTTTTGTGAATCATGATTTGATGAAATGCTTTTAATTTTAAGGTTAGATCTGGTCAGGTTTTCCAAAGGAGTGGAGGGACGTTGAAAATCTAACTATTCTTTTCATTTTTTCTACAATAAATGATATAACTTTATCTTTTTTTTGGAACCGGCTTTCAATTTGTGGAGTTGTCTTTGTGAGATTCATGGAGCTCTTCAAATTGAGGTTTATAAATTCAGATTTCCTGTTCTGTCTTTTCTCTTCCTCTCTGTAAGGAAGGAAGGTGATGAGGAAGTTGAGTTTGAAGCCTCCAGACAGGACAGCCGCCCTCCAGGCCATCTGGGACGAACAGGGATCAGCTGACCTCGGACCGTGCGGTAAATCTCCATCAGTGCTTTACAAATAAACCGGGTCGAATCGTGTGAAATATGTGTGGTCAAAGGCTTGAACATTGTTATTTGCATAACTCTTCGCAGGCGGCTTCTCTCATCAGTACTGGTGTGTGTGTGATTACTTGGGTCTGCCGTACAGAGAGGAGGTCCAGTGGGTCAGTGTTATCTTTTTTTTTTTGTTATTTACAGAATCAGTTTTGTGCAAACGCTGCATTTTTGACGAATTTGAGATGTCGAATCAAAAATGATTTTAATTTTTAAAAAAAAATCACTTTTTTTCAGTTTTTACAGTTACTAGCTCTGATAATAGTTTTTTTTTTAAGATATGGTGCCTTGCTGTCCCTATATTTTGTTTGGTATTTTTGGATTCTGCTGAAACTTCTGCCTTTGCTTTTACTGCTAAATCTTGTATTTTCTTCTTCTGCTGGTCGAAGCACTATTCTTGTCACGTCTGCTGAAGCTGAGTCTGACTTCCACCATTTGTGTTTCAGTTGTTTCTGTCCTTGTTTCAGAGTTTGTCGAACTTGAACGCATCGTCATAAAGCTCTCTCGTTGTTTTTCTTTCTGTCTCACCTGCTGTCGTCTTCTTCTCCAGGATGTGGACACCATCTATCTCACCCAGGACACCAGAGAGCTCAACCTGCAGGACTTTGTTCACCTGGAAAACAGGTACGGCCACCAGTCAAAGCCCTTGTATGTGACTTTGACCAACGTGGACCAGTTTCACCTTAGGTTTAGTGACTCTGTTGTTGCAATAATTTTCCATTTATCAAGACTAGACAGTTAGCTTATAGAAGGAATAAAACAAGGCGTGACTTTTCTTGATTTACTGAAGTATCACAGGTTTGGGAAACTGCCAGAAGATGTTGCAAAAGGTACAAAAATTTTCTATACAGTTCTCGTCGCCTCAGCTTTACCTACATTTTACCAAAGATTAAGATTCAAGTGTTTATCCGGATAGTGTTTAAATAAAATAATGCAAAATACTTAAGGACAAGTAGTTCCCAATGCAAAATTTTAAAAAATGTAATCCACAATAAGAGAAGTAATCACACTATATGCTCTGCCATGCCTAATTCTTAGTAGTGCAGAGGTTGAAAGTGGCCGATGGGTGAAGTACTTCTGGTGTAGCGGTATGAGCAGACTCTGTAGTGGTATGCTGCTTAAATTTATTCAACACATATCACTTTCCACTAACAGGAGCCACCTAATTAAGTAGTTGGCTTCTCTTAGCTGGTTATTAAACATTTAATTTAGACATTTGAACAGCTCTTGTATTCTTGATATTTGCCATCAGTTTAGTTTATTCTGGCGGCTTTCTTCGCTGAAAAAGTAACATAAATAAAATGTACTATGATTATTACTCTGTCGAACACAGCGGCTGACACCTCTATCTAAAAGCTTTTTTCATTTTCCCTGCAGGGATTTGGTGCCGATCATCGCAGCTCTAGAATACAACCAGTGGTTCACCAAACTCTCCACCAAAGACTACAAACTGGTAACGTCCTGAAGTTCAGTTTTACCCAGAAATCCCAGTCTACCATTGATACAAACAACTGTACACCTCTAGTTAATATCATTAAAGTGAACTGTGATCTCCAGTTACTGAAACAAAAAAATGCTTCTTTGAAATCTCCCTGATGTGAAATGAAATTCAAGGCGTCTGTGTGTGTTTTCTGTTTTTCCAGTCAACAGATGTGTGTGACCAGATTTTCAAAGTGGTGGCTCGATCCAACCGGCTGGAGGAGCTGGTTCTGGACAACGCTGGACTCAGAAGGTCAGAGGTCAAATAATAGAACTGATGTTCTTGTGCTTTGTACTTCTCCAAAAATCCTGGCCACATTTTTTCTAAGTGAAATAAACTGTTTGCAACCAGGACACCAAGTCTGTTTAGGATATTACATTTAGTTTGTTGATTGTGTATACCTAAGATGAGATTCAGACACCAGTAAAACTTTGTCAATGATGCTGACCTGTTGTTTGAACTGTTTCTCTTCTTCTTC